TGCGATTTTGATACGCATATGCATGTGTATGTGTGTCGTCGCTATGGCATTACGTCGTTACAGCTCGCCGCCGTCGCCGTCGTCGTCGCCTGTCGTCGTGGTGTCGTGTACACTCATTTGATATCGACTTGTTTGGCTGTGCTATTTCGAAAGTAAATAATTTTCATCGCTTCCTTTTACATTATTATCCTTTTTGGTGCCTATTTGTTGGTATTTTGTTATATGGCAAGTTGACTTTTTAACGGTTACTAAATGAATCGGCGACTCGGTGACTGACGGGCGGACTGACTGACTGACTGGCTTGTGGCGCGTCCAAATACGCTTGGATCTCATGTTTAATGGCGACCTCACCCTTTTTTCTCTCTCACTCCACTTTGTTGGCTTTTAAGAACGTTTTTGTTTTTTCCGTTTTTCCACTTTGCCACTTGCCGCCTACTTGGCAACTGCCACAAGCAATTTATTCATTTATTTATCCTTCATCATCATCATCATCAACATCATCATCATCATCATCATCGCCATTTTCATCGTTTTTCCTTACTTTGCTGGTCGCTCCTTTAATTTTTTTTTTTATTTTTTTATTTTCTTTGGTTTGATTAAAATTGCATTTAAATTACGGATTTCCCCCATATTTACTATTTATATTGCGTTATTGTGGTCGTGCCCAACTCGTCTGTTGATCCGCACGTTGCTGATTGTATCTGGTTGTTCTGCTGCGAGTGCCGCTGCTGCTGCTGCTGCTGCTTACACTGCGTAATCAATTTTTTAAATTGTAATTTTCGTTGTGACACATGACAGGCAGGCAGTCATTGCAGAGAATTGCATTTCATTCACAGGGTGTAAGGTGACAGGGTCAAATGTCGTACGCATCAATGTATGTATGTATTTGTGTATGTAGCAGAGGGTCGATTTAAATGAAAATTACATTTCTATGCATTTCATACGTATTTATGCATGATTTTATAGTTAATGACTATAAGTAGGCAATGGTTCGGTATTAGTACATATTTAGCATGTTCACTTGAAATGTAGGTATTTTTTGAGCCCTCCTTAAACGCCGGAAAGTAGGCTAAAAAGTAGCACACCTAAGTAAAAAAAATAATATTGCCCAAAAGTATGCTTCAAATTCTGGGTGTTTAACCCCTAAAAGTAGGCATTGTTTTGTTATGAAAAGGAAAATACCACTATTTAAAAAGAATTTATTTTGTGGTTTTATTAGTGACCGACTTCTTATAACCCAAGCTGGCGGAATTTGCTAAATATATATCACAGAAAATTTCTTAACGAAAATTATATGAAATTTTAGCACTCAAAGTGGGTTATTCTCGCATCAGAAGAAAAAGTAATGCCTAAAAGTATGCTATATTTTAGGCTTACTTAACAAAATAAATTTGTTTAAGTCATTTTTATGCTTCTCAAGTGCCGTCACTTACCGATATATGTACATACATACATGCATACATGTTTTTAATACCGTTTCTTCACACACATACATATAAATGTATTTTGGTGCACGTTTACCAAGCGTGACCTACACTATGTTAGATTTACATTTTTTTTGTTTTTGGATTTCTCTGTTTTTTTTTTATTTTTTTTTATTTTTTTTTTTGGTATAAAGAGTTTTCTTTTTGCTTAGTAAATCACGCTTGATTTATCTATTATATATTATACCGCATGGCGCTTAGCTGTGTACATATGTACCTAACATGAATACATTGAAAAGAATTTGGGTCGTCTTCATTTATGCTGCACTTGAGTTCATTATATATTAATATATACATACATATGTATTTGACGACTCACCCCAGCAAACTAATGCGCATTGTGTTGTGTATTGAGTGTTCGATTTTTTGGCGTTTATTTCTCGACTTTGATTTGTCGCATAAATAATTTTTTTTGTTTGTTTTTTTCTACAAACTTTTGTTCGTATGCTTCTTTTGCTCGTTTTCTGCATTTTAGAATGGAAAGATAGAAGATAAAAATAAAAAGATATAAGAAGAAAAAAAATAATATTAAAAATTTTTGAGTGATAAAATATTAAAGAGATAAAACATAAAAGTAATAGATAAAAAAAGCAAACAAAAAAGAAAGCTAAAAATTATAAAAAAAAAATTAAAAAATAAATAAACCAATTTAAACAAAATAAAATGAGAAAATGAAATTAAAAGTTAAAAATAAATAAAAAAAGGATAAAAGAAAAAGACAATAAAAAGAAACAAAAATATATAAAACAATAAAAATAAAATAGAAGTTTAAGATATTTTATCATAAATAAAAAATTAAAAAAAAAAATATATGTATGAAAGATAAATTATAAACAAATAAAAAATCAAAAGGTAAAGAAATACATAATTAAAAAATAGAAGATCAAAAAATAAAAATGATAAAGAGATTAGATATTAAAAGCCGAAAATAAAAGAATAAAAACGAAAGTTGAAAGATCAAAGATCAAAGGTAAAAAATATAAAGAATTGAATTAAATATGATAAAGACAAATTATAAAAGTAAGAAAAAGTTTAAAATAAAAATAGAAAATGATCAAAAAAATAAAAAGTATAAAAAAATTATGAGAAATTTAGTATAAAAAATAAATTTAAAAAGGTTTAAAAAAATGATAAAATGTAAAAATATGAAAAACTTCAAAATGTGAAAAATAAAAGTGATGAGGATTTAAAAAAAAAAAACAAATTAAAAAAGAATTAATCAAAAATTAAATAAGTGAAAAAATATGTATGCATGTAAAGTAAATATAAAAAAATATAAAAAAAATATAAAAAAATATAAAAAAATATAAAAAAATATAAAAAAATATAAAAAAATATAAAAAAATATAAAAAAATATAAAAAAATATAAAAAAATATAAAAAAATATAAAAAAATATAAAAAAATATAAAAAAATATAAAAAAATATAAAAAAATATAAAAAAATATAAAAAAATATAAAAAAATATAAAAAAATATAAAAAAATATAAAAAAATATAAAAAAATATAAAAAAATATAAAAAAATATAAAAAAATATAAAAAAATATAAAAAAATATAAAAAAATATAAAAAAATATAAAAAAAATATAAAAAAATATAAAAAAATATAAAAAAATATAAAAAAATATAAAAAAATATAAAAAAAATATAAAAAAAAAAAATAAAAAAAATATGAAAAAAATGTAAAAAAAAATGTAAAAAAAATGTAAAAAAAATACTTATAAAAGAAATATAAAAAAAAATATAAAAAAATATAAAAAAAGTATAAAAAATAAAAAAAAATATAAAAAAAAAATAAAAAAGATAAAAATGAAGAAAAAATATGTCACTCACAAACGTACAAACACACATATGTTTGTATGTGCATTATTAATGCTGTCCAAAATTCGCACGTCATTCTCGCATATTTTACATATTTATTGCTTGTTTGCCTCTGCCGCCTTATTGTTTCGAACATCAATGATGATGATGGCGCTGAAGATGACTTACCTTGACGGCCGATTTGATTTCCCTTACAAAGTATTTGATAGAAAACCGAAATTGCGCTGGTTTGCATTTTTTGAGTTTCGATCTCAATATTTATTTTGTCTTTTTTTTTTGCTATTTCCTTTTCGTTCTCTGTGGAATTTTTGAACATACATACATGTATGTATGTATGCGAGCCGCACATGAATGCTTCTTCTTTGTATGTACACATCTACATGCCTATACATATGTGGGTGTGTGTCTGTGCGTGCTCTAGTGATTTGTTATAAAGCTTTGCTGTTGTTTTTGCTGATGACGCTAGCATAATTGGGTCAACAAGCAACGGTCAGATTGAACCATAGAAACGAAACAACTATGTAGAGATCTAAGCAGGCATACATACATATGAATTTGTACATTGTTTTTTTTTTTTTTTTTTTTTGCTGCTTTATATGTTTGTATGTGGTTTATTTGATATAGATTTCGTCATAACCGTTAGTCGTAGTAATTTTACAGCATATGTCCATGTAATCAATTCTATGTTGTGTATGTGTGTGTGTGTGTTTTCGCTGCAGCTGGTGCTCCTTCGAATTTTCTTTTGTCCCTTTTTCGATCTCAGCGATTTCATCTATACACACAATGCACTGTTTCACGTTAATTATTATTAAGAAGGGAAATTAATTAATTTTTAATTAAGTCCCTCACAAGTAAGCGCAAAGCTTTGCTCTAAAGTATGCTATAAATAGCAAGAGTAACGGTGTAAACTGCAAAACTATGTAATAAAATCTTCTCGAAAATGTCAAGCATAATTTTTCGATGAGAAACCGAAGAAAATGTGATAACAGTTAAAAAATTTACTTAAATTGATGCCTAGAAGTATGCAATGAAACAATTTGTGATACTTTAATACCTAAATATTGAGCAGAATGTGAATTTAGTTTGTTAAAATACGGTTAAAGCTTTAAATAATCTCTATTGTCGCGTTTTACGACTGCTTCAAATCTGTTAAAAATATTTTTAAATTACGTTCAACAATTGCGCCCCAAAGTATGCTATAAATTAAACTTGATGCTATAAAATCCTATATAAATGGCTGATAGAGACCGAAATCTTAGCAAATCCGGCTGGAATAAACTAAGAAACTTCACTTTTTAAAAGAGTTTGAAAGAGAGGAGTTTATTCAAGGCACGATTATATGGATTTTCGACAGGCCATCGTCAGATAGGGTCACACGCAGTGTATGTTAGGTTAGGTTGTACCGTTCCAGACTTATTAGTGTTTCATATTGACCAAAGTGTTGACTGTATTTGTTTGTGCATGTATATTAAAAAATGTAATACGATATGAAATAAAAAAAATAAATAAAAAAAACCCGTAACTAAAAATCGTCTTGCGCCGAAAATTCTTCGAAAATGTATAAAAAAAAGTCTCCAAAGCGGCAATCCCTCGCTCTTCTTAAAAGTTTTAAAAAATGTTATATACTTTCAAAAATATATGATTGTCCATTTTCTATTACTAAATTTTTTTTTATATTTTTTCTCTATTTTCAGGTTTTTGTTTTAAATTAAACTGTTTCAAAAGCTGTTGCTTTGCCGTGTAATTGAGTGTTGAGGACCTATATGTCGGTTTACACAGAACATGTGTATAAACAATCAGTTTCTTCAACTTAACATTAAATCTACACTGCAGCAACAACAACAATAACAACACTTTGAATCATAAATTTTGGAAAGCAAAAGTAAATTAAATGAACATTTTTGTGCAATTGAATCAAATTCAAACGGAGCTAAAAAATACACATACACCTATACAACAACAATAACAAGAACATACACAATCAAAAGTTTAGATAAAGCAAAGGATATACAAAGAAATCAAGAGCTGGAGCATTAAATACAAGAAATCAATTCTAATATTCAACTACTCCTACATCAAGCCCAACAATTGAGAATATAGCAGAAAAGCAAATACACAATTCGGCTGATTAACCGTGTTGTTGCTACCTAAAAGCACAGCTACGCATCTAAAAGTAAGTAATTTGAAATTTCTGAATTTCACTATAAAAGTGTAAAACTAATTTGATTTCTTTCTGTTTTTCTTTCCATTAGTTTAACGCACATCACGCCGCGCATTAGTTCTCCTGCTTCCCCACAAGGCAAACAAAGAAAAAAGGGGGTTCTGTGTAGACTAACCTCTTACTGAAATTGAAGTCGATTTTGCAGTGCAAATTCAATTCAAAGAAATAAACAACTAAAAAAAAACAACACAGAAAGTTGTTGCCAAAGCAGTAGCTTAAAACGTAAATATATAGAAATATAAATATATACAAATATATATTGTATATAATACTCAATAAATTTCGACTCCTCTACTGTACCGCTGTAAAAGCGAAGAAATCCAAGCAAAATTAGCGCGCCCGTAGCAGTTGGTACAAAAAATACCGCCGCCGGTACTTCAGCGACCGCCGCTGCCACTGCTGCTGCTGCTGGCACTGTCGCCGTCAAAAGCGTCACTCTAGCTGCTGCCGCAGTAGGAGACACGGACGACGATATGAGCGGGCGTCCAAGGACAACCTCATTCGCTGAGGGCAATAAACAGGCACAACAAAATCTCGTGCTTGGCGGTGTCAAAACAAGTAGTAAGTAGTAAACGTATTTTAAAAATATTGTTGCATTATAAATACTTTTAATTTTTAATATTTAGTACTTAACTAACTAAGACTAGGATGTTTTTCCAACACTATTCCGCTGGTTTATAACAAACAAAAATATGTTAACGCCTAAAAGAAGGCTACTTAGACTTTAATTAGTCAAGAAAAGGCATTAGTTTAACATGTAAATGGAAACTTTTACAACAAATTTCCTTTATCATTGGAAAAGTAAAAAGAAACCCCTTTTTATATATATATATATAAATGAAATGAAGTCCACCTCTCCATGTTCTTTCATCTTATAAATCCATTTTTTTATTATATAAAACTCACTAAAGTGTCCTGTTCAAAAGTTTTACAATATGTTCTAAAGCAGCAAGCCAACCTTTAATAGCATTTTCAATATACAAATAAATATAATTAGTTTATTTTAACTTGTTTTTCAAGAAATTTTCAATATGACTGCTTTCTTTTGTACAAAGGCTAAATGTAAGTAGGTATTTAGAAATTACTCGCTTTGTAAAACAATGTTTAACCGTTAAACGGCTACAGCTACAAAATCTCAATTATACATATTATAAAATAAAACGGAAATGGTAAAGATTAAAATAAAAAGTGATAAAAGTAAAATAAAGTAAATTAAATTAAACATATGAAAATTAAATATAACCTAATACCTAATAAAAATAAAACTAAATAAAAAATAATATAAAAAAATAATATAAAAAAATAATATAAAAAAATAATATAAAAAAATAATATAAAAAAATAATATAAAAAAATAATATAAAAAAATAATNGAAAAAATATAAAAAAAATAAAAAAATATAAAAAAAATAAAAAAATATAAAAAAAAAATAAAAAAATAAAAAAAATATAAAAATATAAAAAAATAAAAAAATAAAAAAATAAAAATATATAAAAAATATAAAAAAATAAACAAAATAAAAAAAAAATAAATAAAAAATAAAAAAAAAAATAAAAAAAATAAAAAAAAATAAATAAATAATAAAAAAAAAAATATAGAAAGCAATATAAAAAATAATATAAAAAATCTTAATTTACGAATCTACATTTTCTATAAAATTTGCATAAATAATGTTTAATATCTTTAAGCATCTTTAAGAAGCATCATTTCTTGACTGCTTCTGTTTTATTTTTCCTGGTTAAGATTGTTTAAACATTCATTTTCATGACAAATTTTTGAGTATTTGTATACAAAATTGTTTTTATTTCAATCTAATCTTACGTTGAAAACTGTCTTCAAACTAAAATTCGACTGCTTGATGACTCAATTTTAAAGAGCGCACGCTTGGTTGGGAAATAATTTTTTTTAACCAAAAGTGCGTGGAAATTTGCTCTAACGACTTGTGTTCAATGCATACTTTTCTGATTAGTTGTCTTTTTTTCTTTTAATTATTACAAATTAAAATTACAAAAATAGAAGAAAATTTCGATTACTCACTCACTCACTTCCCATTTTATTTTCTATTGCCCATCTGTCCGCACTTACATAGATAGATTCATTTATCTATGATAGTTTGCCAATCTAATTTACAAAATTTTCATCACTTACAGTGATCGTGTATTTATAATCTCTTTCTGCTAGTGTTTTTATATGTGCCGGCTATAACTCTCGTGTGCTTTTCAAAATTCTCAGCTGTTGATCGCGTCACTACGGTTCGATTCGATGCGATGCCGACATTCTCGTTACTTCGTTCAATTATTGTTTTGAATACCTATACATATGTACTGTATTATTGCACATTTCGAAATTTTTCATCTCGATTAAATTTAGATTTCAGAGAATTTCTTTTGATTTTATAGCATTTCGATGTTCTTTTTGCTCTTTTGCAATTTATTTTATTTTTATAGATTTTCAATTTTAATATTTATATAATATTTCATAGTAAATTTAGTTATTTTTGGTTTGAAATTAATTGTTTTATTTTGATTGTTATTTTTATTTTTTAAATAATATTTCTTGATTATTTTCTATTCCTCTTATTAATTTTTATTTTTTTTTTATTTTTTTTCTTAATTTTTTTTATTTTTTTATTTATTTATGATTTTTTTTAATATTTTTATAATTTTTTTCTTTAATATTTTTTAATTTTTTTTTAATATCAATAGAATTTTTTTATTAATCTTGTAATTTTTTTTAAATATTTTTATAATTTTTTTTTTTTAATATTTTTATAATTTTTTTAATATCAATAGAGTTTTTTTGATATTCTTGTAATTTTTTTTATATTTTTTTATTTTTTTTAAATATTTTTATAATTTTTATTTCAACATTTTTATATATTTTTTTTATTTTGCTAATTATTTATATTAATCACTTTAATTTTTTCATTGCCACTGTCGGAATCTCTATATGTGTATATACATGTGTATGTATGTGTGCATATATATTGGTGCTGCCACCGCTGTTGCTATGTATGCATGTGTCGTTTATACGCCCGTAATACGTCCATGTTGCTGACTCGTTTAGAATGTTGCATTCTCACGCGACGTGTGCAATATGCTTTTTTCGTTTAATTGAACTTTTTCCGTTCATTCCACTTTAATTTTATTCACTGATAGTTGAAGTGGCTGGACTTGTTCGGAATTCTTTGTACAATAATTTTTATTTTTTTTTTTTAACTTTTCTACACGCAAAGTGCCGAGCGGCAAGCAACTGTAATTCGAATTCGAAATTAGGAATGGTAATAGCAATAGCAACAACTACGATTATAGCAACTCTTCAAATTACTATAATGACTGCGAAGCATTAATAGTGTGATACTGTAGTTGTTGTAGCATTTTTTATTGTATTGGCAAATATTTCACCGCCTGTTTTGCTGGCTGCCACCGCCTATTTCTTCTTCCTTTTACATTCTAAATGTGGCAGTGCTTCCTCTCTTGGCCTCTCGCGGTTGATGTCGGCTGGCAGCAACTGCTTTTGTTTTTGATACGCGTCATTTTCCCGCTATTTGTGTTGTAAACTTTAAACTAAAAATTTTTCTCTTTTTCCTTTTTTTTAAATTATTCATGCTTGTTTGCTTTCTCTATGGTATTTTGCTATTATAAGTGTTTGTTTTTGCTGTTGTGTTGGCAGCTGTGTTGCACATTCGATACATTTTTCAGTTGTATTATGCACTTGCTGTAGTGTAAGGTGGAATTTTCTTTCTGTCTTAAATGGACTACGCCTTCTTAGCATTAACTTTGTTGTTTGTTTCGAACTTTCTTCAAGTACATTTTTAATAATTAAATTAAAACACTTTTTGATTACGGAGATGTTTGGAAGGCCAAGGATATTTTTTACATTATTAATATTCAACTTATAATAACGGTATTCTTTTGCTCCCAACTTACGAAGAACATCCGGCAAAAACCCTTAAAAAATGCCTTCTTGCCCAACCAATTTCACGGTGGGTCTCCATTTTTCTCATACTAAGCTTTAAATTTCACCATCTGCCGCATATCCGCGATAACAATCGGGTGGTAGCGTAGTCAAGGTCGCCAAAGTTCATTGTTGTAAAATCTCTAATGAAAAGTATGTCTTATTCAGGATAACTCTTAAGGCCCTAACCCTCTGCATGTCTGTTAGTCCTCTTTATCAAGCCTGAGCTGACCTGACCATAGCTCTGCTATAATTTTCTTGTTTGTTTTATACCTTCGGATTCAGGGTTTCTTTAACTTTCCAATGCCTAAGGGATCCACGGGTATGTTTCGATATATTACCGCTATAGCTACGCCTTATGCTGTGCGATATACTCGGTTCTTTGATTTTGATTGAGTTGGGAAGAGATCCTGGCTGTTTCTTTTGCTGCATGTAGGTAGTTAATAACATTTCTTCAGTTGACTCTCCTATATTGGCCGTTAATCTTTCAAGCTCGGGAAGTTTTTATGGCGAACTTCCTTTGCTTAGCGTGTTCGATTTAAGCCTACTACTTTTGAGATATACATGGCGCAAGTTTGGTATACTTCGCGCGCAATAGCTTAGGTTATACTGTCTGACTGTCACACCTTCTCATAGACCTCTTGGTTCTTTGTAGTGCCAGATGCAGGTTTGAATTGATTCGAGGCTTATTTGCAAAATTTAAGAGGGTTTTGATATCCAGATTTGAGGCTCTTCCTCTGAGCAGCGAAGTTCCTAGATTTCTCCTTATAGCCCACCGAGTTGCCTACTAGAGAACTGCCATCGGGCATTTCCAGATTTAATGTACCGTTATAGCTGATATTCTAAGTCTGATGTTTAATGTATTTTATTTTTATAATTGTTCTAATAAATTTTTTATTCTGTATGTTTTTTAATTCTTATACAATATATTTTTTTATTTTATTTATTTATTTTTTATTATTATTATTTTTTCCCACACATACAATAAATTTTTGTTTTTATTTTAATTTTTTTAATTTTATTTCATTTTTTTTTTATTATTTTTTAATTGTAGAAATTTTAAAATCTTTTGCTTAATATTTTAATCATGTTTCTCATCAACATGTTGCTAATTAGACAAACACTGCAAATGTTGCTCAACATCGTCGCGTTGCCAACACCGGAGTGGCAGAGTCATAAATTACATTGCATTGCCAAAGCGTGAAAGGCAACCACTTACATTCATACATGCATACGTATATACGAAAATAGCTTTAACACATGTTTTAATTGCACGAAATTTTATTGCCAGCTGATTCTTGCGACAAGTTGCGCAGCCAGCGCGCGCGCCTCACCTGCATACATCAGCACACGCGCGCTCCACCTTTATACACTCGTATCACACCACGTCGCGCCCGTTGCTTGCTGCTTTACGTTTGGGGTTAACCTCAAGTT